GGACCATGAATAGCCATGGTCTGCATGCAAATCCCTGACAGATTATGTGACTCTTCATTCCGATGCCAAAACTATGTTGGTGACTATGTCATGGGACAATGTAAAATGTTTTGCTGAAGCCTTATAAGATTTTATCTCTTGTTTCTGTGTTGTCTACATGGACAGCCATGTTATCATTGAAGGAAGTTAAATTGAGCTGTCTCACAATTTTCTCTTTTACAAAAAGACACACTGATTGCTACCCAGCACACTAGATTAGAAATTATTGCCAGTGACTCCACATTTACAGTTTCATGGTTTACCCTGCTCTCTCATATGGTACTGAAGTTCATTTGACCACCATGTAATAACCAGGGTTGCCATTCCATCTGTAAAAAAGAAAATGGATAAATAGAGATTTTAATATAGATACAGCCTTCAAGGTGTTCCCCCTCACCCCCCCCCTACATATTTTATTTGCTTTTTGATTTTCCCTCTTTCTATTTGCCTAGAATACTCTCTGGATACGTTTCCATCTCACAGGTATTAATTCATCACAAGGATGAAGTAAAACCAGATAATCCTTAGTATTTCTCTGAAAAAGTACATTTCATACTGTTCCCTCCACATAGAAAGAATTCTCCTGTTTAAGACTCATCCATTCTTCAAGACTCAGACTTTCTGTTATGTCTTAATCCATCTTTCCTTCCCTAAGCTAAAAGTAAACCATTCTTATTCTGGGTCCAAATATACTCTTTATATAGGGCTCTAATTGACCTTCTAAGTTGTTAGATAGATAATTTTTAAGAGGTTATATGATATTTATCTCTATCAAAGTACCTCATTTATCAATAAATCTACATGGAATTGTACTATTTGTAAGTGAATCCACATCTCCATTATCTAAAAGTAAAAGGCCTTTATAAAAATCTTTCCTGCTTAACGGAAAGAATAAGGTTTAAAATCCAAGATAATTGTCATGATGAACATTAATTTCCAGCAGCATGTATAGCTTCCTATACTTATAAAATGAAAAATACATTCCTAAGTCTCTCTAGCAGTACAGTGGTTTAGAAGTATATCTCAGGTATTAACAAGAACTACTTAGCAAAAGACTGAAGTAATTTCTTCATACAGCATCCAAAATAATAGTACTGATTTATGAGTTCTTTGAAAACAGGGTTTAAGTTAATTTAATCTCATGCACCTTAGCTTGGTGCCATTAGTATCTAGAACAATGCATTTTACAATTAGAGTTAGTGAGCCAAAACTGGAATAAATTAGTAAGTTGAATTTTTGACATATCTATTATGTATAACAATCAATAAGCAATTCTGGTCTAACATCTATTTTTAGATTCTTCAACTTTTGGGGAAAAATATAGGTATTCTCCTTTTCTCATCCTTAGATTGATTTTGGATTATTTAGATTATTTTGAAAATGAGATTATATATATATATATATATATATATATATATATATATATATATACACACACACTATTTAAAGGCCTTAGGCTAGTGTGTCCATATACCTTAGCTACTTTTATTTTGTTTTATTTTTTTTTAATTCATTGGGGCAACATTGGTTAAAGTATGCAGGTTTTAAGTGTATAGTTCTCTAATACATCATCTACATATTGCATTGTGTGTTCACCACCCAAAGTCAATTCTCCTTCCCTCACCATATATTTAGCTGACCCACTTTACTCTCTTCTACCACTCCCCCTTACCCTCTGGTAACCACTAAACTCTTGTCTGTGTCTATGAGTTTTTGTTTGTCTTATTTAATTGTTGCTTTCAGTTTTATATCCCACATATAAATGAAATCATATGGTTCTCAACTTTTTCTGTCTGATTTATTTTGCTTAGTATGATAATCTCAAGATCCATCCATACTGTAGCAAATGACAGTATTGTATCATTTCTTAGGGCTGAGTAATATTCCATTGTGTATATATATATATATATATATATATATATATATATAGTCACTTCTATTTTATCCAATCATCTATTGAAGGTCACTTAGGTTGTTTT